AACATTCTTAGCTACCATAACTTTTGGAGAAAAAAATCTCAAATTTTGACATGAGTTGAGCTGATGCAAAATGGAGATGTCAGAAGGAAGCCTGGAATGGCAGGCCTGCATGTGAATTGCTCCGTGTCCCAGTCGGCTCTGCCTGTGGGAAGTACTCAGATCTGCTGGCAGTACTTTGGGGAAAATACAGCACAGGCTGCGGCACTGAGGAACTCCTTCCTGCTGGTCTTGGGTGTGTCCTCAGAAATGGCTGAGCATTAAGGTTGCTGGCAGGCTGCTTTTGTCCAGATTACCTACTCCACAACAGCGGTTTATAACGTTGCAAAAGACAGACAGCAGCCTAGGCTTCTCTGATGTAGGTGAAATTCAGATGGAGTTTTATTTCTCACTTTTTCCAGTGAAACTATTTCCTGACTTTTCCATGTAGGTTTCATAGGGAAAGGTGTATGCTGTAGTATTTGATGGGAAGTGTCTGTAAATTTTTCAAGTGAACTCAAACTTCAGAAAGTTCTTTAAATATCTGACAATGTTGTTTTCAATTGTTTTTGTAACAACAACAAAAAAAATGAAAGTTGTAAAATTCATTCTGATAAAAATTAGTTTATTTTTTTAAAGATGAGAAATCTAGAAAGCAGAAGAGCCACAAATCTAATAATAATGAAGTGTCAAAGAAAACCTAGTTATGACATAGTCTTTACTAGCTTGAGATAGTTAAACATCCGAGTCTTCCAGAGCTCAGGAAGCCTTTAGGCAGTGCTCTCATACACATGGTTTGAGTTTTGGGTGGTCCTGTGTGCAGCCAGAACTTGGACTCAGTGATCTTTGTGGGTCCCTTCCAACTCAGGATATGCTGTGATTCTATGAAACTATTAATAATGCTGTAGAAAAAATAGAAATATGCAATAAGAGTTTCTGATTTGTACTTGGAGAGCCATATGTTTGCATTCCATGGGGATAAGAAGGTATTTTCCTGAGTGTAGATAATCACTAATGGATAAGCACTTTTAGAGTTGCAGATAATTTGTACCGGGGTGTTGAAATATGACTTGAGTGCAGCCTTCCCTTTAAAGTGGAGCATTGGTGTGGTGTCTACATGCTGGAACAGTTTCAGGAAGGAAAGTGAGGATCCTGTGAAGTTATAACATTTGGTGATTTTCATATGGGTGTTGTATGATGGGGAAAGTGGGAATCTTTTGATACACATGGTAAGACCTAAATAAATGCTTGTTTGCCTGAAACCTTGTCTTATTTTCCAGCAGCACTGGATTTATAATGTATTGCCCTATAGTAATGTATAGTATATGGTTGTATAAAGTAATACTAGTTGTAATATAATGTATTACATATATAATATTTTAAATAGGAAATTGATCAGTTCTAAAAGGTACTATGTCTTCTCATAGTCACACTGCTACAGAACTGCATGTGTTCTGTAGGTATTAGAGCTCAAAAAAAGAGGAGTTAAAATGGGCAATATTTTACAGTGATCAAAGATCAAATTCCAGTGTAAGAAAACTAAAATTGTTTCAGTTGTGTTTTAGGTGAAAGCGTCCTTGCCTGCCTTTTTAGTTTAGTTTTGGCTTCTCTTTCATAACCCAACTGTTCTCCCTGGTTGTAAGATGTCAAGGTCAAAGAGAGGTGAAGCTGAATGGTGCTGGGAATCTGAGATGCAAATCAGTTGCAGATAATCCCTGTGATGCTGGAAGGCCATCCGGCCTCACCGAGCCATTAGCATTCAGGGACGCTCATTAGCACTCAGGCATCCAGTCAGTGTGCATTAGCAAAATGAGATGTGTTGATTAAAGCTACAAATTATTTGGTGAATGCACAGACTTTAAACCATAGCGGCTTCATGTTCATAAGCTTGTAGTTGTGTGCTTACACATTTTAAAAAATGCAGAGAGACTGTAATCTTCAGTGCTTGTTTTGTGTATGTGGGTGTATTTGCATGTATTTGTGAGTATGGGGGGTGAAAGAAGTGAAGTGTGCATGGAAGGAAAGGCGAGAAGTTAAAAGAATTTAAATATTTGATGGTTGATTTTCTTTTTAATATTTGGAAAACTTACAGTTAGGACAGTTCAAAAACAAACAAAAAACACAACAAACATTCTGGCCTATGCAGAAAAGGATTATCAGCATGTATTATCATATTATCTGGTAATTTCAAAGCCTTAAGTGAGATCTAGCTAAAACTAGAGGATTATGTGAAAAACAATACCATCTGAGTTTAATGTCTGTATTAATATTCCGTTTTCTTACCACCAGTCATGCTTATATTACACAGGGCTATCTTGTATAAGCGCAATAAACAAGGGTACTGTCCTTAATGTTATGCTGTCAGCATTTTGGATAGTATTAGTGAAATGTATCTTTATTGTGCAGGGTGTGTAGTTGCAGATACATTTGAATAGTTATCTTAAGCAGGCATAGCATACCTCTCTAGTTTCTAACAATGTCATCCTTCAGAACTGCCAAGATAAGTTGCATCACGCTGGGAGTTTCATCAGATATGCAGTTTTGTCCTGAAATACAGAATTTTCTTCTGGGTTCCTTCAGCTAAACCTTGTTCCTAATCGCTGTGTAGAAAAGAGCAGTGCAGAGCCTCAGCAGCCAGGCATGTGGGTCACCTGAGTCTTTGCTGGGAGTCCTCACAGCCTGAACTGAGTGGCAGGAAGGCTGCTGCTCCAGTCCTAATGCTTATTCTTACCCCCTTTGTGCCTTTGGTGATGGGTCTGGGAAGGCTGGTAGTTATGCAGATGACTGTTAGGCTGTGCAAGGCTGACATGAGGAAAGGTATTTATTTACAGGACTAATTAGGAAGTGGTTTCTTTGATGTCCTTCTTGGATAACTGTCTCTAATGTCTGCTGCTGACAAGGCTCATGGGAAAGGTAATGACTCTGAGAATGACTCGGAAGAGGATTTCTTACTTTCTTCTAGTCTGAAATACATACTTGATTAGGTACAGTACATCCGGACTTCATTTTTAGGAAGAAAAGGGGGTCTCAGTGTTACTTAAAATGAAGGTCTTTTCGGGGAGAGGTTTGCTATGTCAGTTCCGCTGGGTAGTATTACAGGGCAGTACTGGCTGTGAGTGCTGCTTCACATCCCTGCACCATTCCCTGGCTTTGCCAGTTTTGATTCTTTGACCTCCTCCTGCATTTCGCTTGTTGAACTCTGGGAATGCAGTCAGCATTCACATTTTGCAGTTACGTGATGATTCCTCCTTGAAGTAGACTTTTATCTCCTGTGTTTTGAATAACACAATCTGTATACTGCTTGATACTTTGTTTTTGCATCCTTAATTTTAAATTGCACCTGTCTTGGTGGGGATGCTTTTTGCCAGTTGCACCTGCATTATCGAACTCCAGATTTTGTGCTTTAGAGAGGAAGATGTTTGTTTCAAACTGGCTTGTTCCTGGGGTAGTGCAACGAGGATACCTGCCAACGAAGGATGCAGAGAACATAGTTAAAAGAATAGAAAATGTAGAGCAAGCCTGGTATATTTTAATCAGTCCTTCTGAGCTGAAGGTTACACCTGTACCATGATATTTAATGGCTGTCAACAGATTACTTTATTATTTTGTGTGATTTTTGACCTATTTTGGGCTCCATGACATCTTGTGACACTGACTTTCACAATATAATTCATCTTAATCTTATTATATAAAACAAAAACAAAACAAACAAACAAAAAAAAAACCACCCAGAAAACCCCCACTCAACTCTTCTTATCGCTTTGAATCTTTTGTTCTGGTTCTATGTAGGTTGCTCCAAATGTAATGCCTCCTATTTATTTCCATAGAAGTTACAACACATGCAAAGAGCATAATGACACTACTTGATAGAACAAATTCTCAGCTACAAAACACTATTTTTCAAATATGCATAGCTAATGGTGATGACTCTGATAGTGATGAACATACCATGCTCATAAAAATATGTACTACTGGACGTGACCTGCTGTTGCCACTGCCTCACTGTGCTCACATCCACTGTTTGGTCTCCATAAACACTCAGCAAGCATTGAGGAATGTCAACGAGTGCCATTTTTTCTGCATGGAGGGATTCAGTGACACACCTTCACTTTGAAAACGCTTCCATGTCAGATGCCATTCTGTGAGAATGCCCCTCTGCTGCCATCTGTTGCGTGGCAACAAAATGCAGTGAAATATTGGTGGGAAGGTTCAGCCTGTGTTGCTGTATCACCAGTTTCTTCCACTGAGGTAGTGGGGCAACAAAATGAAGAAGGAGGCATCACTTTCAGAGCAGCCCTCATACCTTAAGGAATAGTCAACTTTTGTTTTTTAGTCATTTCTAAACATGAGAGATGGCTGTGACTCCTTCAGAAGAAATCATAGGTTGCTCTGTCAAACAATGACTGTGTTCAAAATCGTTAGAGCCAAGACTTGTTTTGAATGAAATTCTTTACGGAGAGCAGTGTCCTCACAGCAGCAGCACCCCTCAGACATTTTCAGCCAGTTAGTGACAGAACTGATGAATTATACTCTTATGAAGTTAAAACCTGCATGTGAAGAGTTCCTTTCTGTACTGTGGAGTCCAAAATCAGTCATTTAAAAAAAAAAAAAAAAAAAAAAAAAACAACTTGAAAATTTGATCACTCACACTTTAGGCTCATTTCAGATCTTTGAAGTTTGATTTCTGTTTTCATGGTCATTGGGATAAGCTTTGTAATTATTCCCAAATGAATGAGAAATAAAGCTATTACAAAGATGCATTATGATGAGCCTGTTAAGCATTTTTAACTTATTTCTAATTAAGTTGCTATTTTTCTGCTGTTTCCAGGCAGCAAAAGACTTTATTTCCACAATAAATCTACATGCAAAATTAGCAATAGGCCTTTTCCTGTAAGATTTCAGGCTAAATAGTCATCTGACTTTTCTCTGGTAGCAGAAATGCATGCTTGTAACTGAAGTAAGCAAAGCTGTGAATTGTCAGCATATTTATAAAATGTGTTTTCTTCTACCCAAACAGGATTCAGATGGTTTTCCAGGGTGTGTCAGTCTCAATGCAGTGTTCTGCAGTGAGGAAATGCCATGTTTGGAGTGAATGCCATTTGCTTCCCATCTCTGTAGAAAGAGATCTGCCACTGATGCAGGCAGAGTACAGGTAGGCCCTGTTGTGATAGCCATGGTGCTGCTGGTTGGAGCAGGATTTTTGACATCTGAAAATAAATAAAGTGGTCTTAATATAAGTTTGCTTTCTGGAACTTTTGAAATCATTTGGGAAATAAAACACATAAGGAATTTGTATCTCTCTCAGTCACTTTTTATAACATTTCAAATATAAGGAAACATTTAATGGCAAAAAAAAAAACAACCATAAAAGTCACAAATGCTTTCATACTCTGAGTTCTGAGAGGTATATTTAAGGCTCAGCAGACTTTTAACCTTTTTTAGCTTACAATAAGTTTGCCATCCTTTTAGAACCCTTTGATTGTATGGCTTTTGTTCTCCTGAAAGGGAGACAGGGCTGCCTGGTTACTCAAGCAGATGCCAGGCTTCTGATTAGCATTTGATGAAAGCCACTTGTGAAAGCAGAATCAATGCTCAGATTTACAAACAGTAAACGTGGGTATCGGCTTGTCATTTCTTCCTAGGTTGTTGTCCTATAAAGCTGTTCAAGTTCCTCTCTTCGTCAGAACATCTTCCTGCTATCCCTGCTGCCCATAAACATTATGTTAGATCGAGAAGAAGGGTGAGTAATTCTCTTTAGTTCCATTATCTGGATATTTTTTTTCATTTCATAGAAGGAAGAAAAGAATGAAAATGCAAACACATAAGTTGATAAACCGTAATAACCAAACTGTGTGTCTGAAGAGGCCTCATTACAGAACAGTGGAAGCACAAGGGAGAGCTTATTGTGGGCAGCAAGATAGTGCTCTAATAATGCTGTCACTGTACTGAGTATAGCATCAAACGTTAATCCATGTGGTTATATCCAGGTAGAGAATTGAACACATTCTGTTTAGAAAAAAAAGAGCAACAGAAATGAGTCTGAAAGGGTTATATAGCAGATCAAAGCTAGCAGGGAGAGAGAAATTATTTTGAATGGGGTTAACTGAAAGCAAAATGGCAGCACCTCTACAGTAAGAGGTTTTTTTACTAGTCTGTGCAAACTCCCACTGACTGATGTATAAGGAATGTGTATGCGTGTGTGTTGAGGAATAGGAGTAAGAGAACTAGAAAAGATGGGTGTTTGAGGCAGTATCTATTATATGATGAGGTCAGCTCTTGCGGTTTATACCAAGACAAGTGCTCAGAAAGAAGAGCTGTGGGAGCATCTTTTCTTGTATTAAAGAGTGTCTGGGCTATTCAGTTTAGACAAGTAGTGTAGTAGTATTGTTTTATGAGGCATCGTGACACAAAATGCAGGATCAGTAATATCACCTAACAAAAGGATTACCAATAAAAGGAGAGGTGTTGCCATTACCCCTCAATTTAACTTGGTTTGGCGTGGTGTCCTACCTCAACAGCCATGCTCAGCAAAGCCCTGTTTATTGTGGTAATACACAGCCATTCTGACAGAGAAGCTGGAAGTTTTCGTGTGCACCAGATAACCTTTTTTATAGTGCAGAAGGTCAGATAGGAAACTTGCCCAAAAGCGACTGGGCTGAACGTAAATCTCAAGATGCTCAAAGCTCATTGTTTTGTCTCAGCTATTTCTGAACTGTATCGTGTGGGACAGTGTCCAGACTTATGAGCTACATCTAAATGAACTGTTGCAAATGTTGGTATTACTGCAAGTAATGCTGTAGGTGGTAAAGAACCTCTAACATAGTTTTCCTCCTATGATACAGTTGCTCTGCTTAGTACAAGATAAATCAGCTTTAGCAGATTTGAAGTATAATAACATCACGCAGTTTCTTTCAGTGTCTGAGCATTTTTGTCTATTGCCAGTTTTGATATCTTGCAGTGTAATTCTATTTTTTCTAATTCTAGACAGTTACGTGTGTAGCAAGTATTAAAGATTCACAGATGGTGACTTGTTAACTTTTATTCTTAGTTTTATTTACCAAATTCACATGTCCATCAAATATTCCAAAATGTTTTTGAAATGTAATACTCAGGGATTCCCTTTGTAAGTGAACAAATACTTTTATATTATAAAGTGCTATCAGAATGTTATTATATTTTTAATGCAAGTGTCTAATGCATCTATTTCATCAGAATCTTAGTTTCCCTTTTTTAGTAAAAGATTACTGCTAATATCAGACAGCTTTCCTTTAAAAAAAAAAAAAACAAAAAAAAAACAACTATCCTGAGTGCTTACTTCCCACTTCGTATGCATTCAGTACTGTCTAGATACCCACAGGTATCTGGCATATCCATAGATATCTGTGCAAACTACAGGCTTAAAGACTGCAGTTATTTGCACATAACTACACTGTTTTACACATATATAAATAAGTGAAAAATGAGAGGTGAGGTTGTGTTACTTTGGCTCACGGATGCCTGGCTTTTAGTGCACAAGTACAGTTTTAGTCCAACAGGAATCAGACTGAGAGTTTGATGGGTTTAATCACATGGAACTTCATGATTTGCGTAAACTAAAAAGTTTTCAGCCTGAATTAAGTATTGTATCTATATCCATTTCAGTGTGGGAGTATGTGGCCTATTGTAATGAGGGCCAACTGAGATATGTAGTGAGAATTGTCCTGATGTGCAGAAAGTTAACTGTTTATGTGTGAATATAAGTAGTTAATGTGAGTAGTTATAGTGAACCCTCTTCTCTTAAGCTGTTACATTTTTTTTTCCCTCAAATGAGTTCTGAATTTACTGATGCTTGTTTATTTGAGGATCAGAGCAACCCTTGACTCAACTATTTATATCTGCTGATTTTTTTTTTAAAGTTGTTTGTGTTCTTGAATATTTAGTATTGAAGACCAAAGTTTGAAACTGTCTCAGATTAATGCAAGTAACAGTAAGTAAATAAGGAGACACTTTAATGCAGATATATGATCAGGAGGCAGGGACAGGTAAGTGTTTTTCTAGGCAACCAGTTATCTGACAGTACTGCAGCTGTACCTCTCTATTCCCTTTTTCTGCTGTCTTCCACTTGCACCAAGTAGCTGAACTTTCTATTCACTTAACAGGTTTCCCACTTCTCTTCCTTTCCTGTCACTGAATCACAACTAAATAATTCTTAATTGCCTTCTGAAAGTAAGTTGTTTTTTTCTTGTTTCTGTCTTGCATACTCTGTCCATCTCTTCCAGCCTGTATCATTCCTTATTTTATGCATTTCTTTGCGTGTGCCTCTTACCTGACCACTCCTTTGTAACTTGATTCATACGGGCCTACTGTTGAAAATAGTTGTTTCACTTTGGCACTGTTCACCTTTATCTTCAAATTTGTCATTCAGAGCATTTCTATTACCTTACCTCCCTTCTCTGTCTGTGCCCTGGTGTTGTCCAGTTCTTAGTGGTGTGTGAGCATCAGAAAACAGACAAGTACCTACAACTCAAAAAGAGAAAAAAAAAAAAAATTGAAGACGTAACAGAACCTTAAAAACAGAAGTCCTTCCAGAGCAGCCTATATGCTTCCTGCTGATTGCATCAGGAATTGTCATTTGTTCATTATTATCTTACTAAGATTCCAGACATTCAGATCACAGACCGTACTTTTTGACTTTTCTGTGAATTGCAGTCCTTTGCCTGCACACTGAAAACTAACAGACTTGTTTTGTTGGGAACTCGGTTGTTTGTCCGTCTATTCAGAGAGTAAGAGTTCATTTTCTGTGATTCTTTTGTGCTTCGGATGGAACAGATGGCTCAGCAAAGTAAACATCTGTATGTGAACTGTAAAGTGTTCTTATGTTATTTTGTACCAGTGTAAAGTGAGATCCAGTCATCAATACTAATCAACAAACTGTTTCTGGAAGAAGACTAGGAAATTTTTGATTTAACACAAATCAAGTAGAAAGTTGCTGACAACTAACTTAAGAAGAAATTGCTGCCTATTTCTGTGACATCAGTAACATACTTGGCCCAATATCATACAAAATCTAGCTGTAAACATCTCTTCTCACAGAGTTTCTCGTATAATCCTTTTATGATAAGCATTCCTGTAAGCTAAAGCAAAGAAAATTCAAGGGCACTGTTACCTGTTGATGATTTATTGTCCTTGCCTCTGCTATCTTGCATGAGTAACAGTTGTGCTAATAGTTGCATTCTATGATATTTGTGTAGTTGTGACTGACAGAGAATTTGTTTTGCTCAATATTTGAGCTATGCTTTCTCTACTGAAATTGGACTTTTCAGCTCTACTTTGATTCTCTCCTCTCTTATTTAGGGAGCAGTATATGCAGCATACAGTTATTTCAGTTATTCAGTTTTCTACAGAATTTCTACTGCTACTGCAATAAACATGGAGGTAACTTCTATTTAACACTAAGTAACATAGGCAAATATTAATAATAGAATCAGAGAATATCCTAAGTTGGAACGAGGCTCATAAAGTTAATTTAGTTCAGCTCCTGTCTGTAAGGACAGGACAACCCAAAAGTCAAATTGTGCTTCTGAGAGCAATGCCCAAATAATTCTTTAACTGTCAGCTTGGTCTTGTGCCCTCTGCCCTGGGGAGCCTGTTCTGAAATGCCTCTGAAGAATCATTTCCTGATACCCAACCTTGACACTTCCACGACACAGCTCCATGCTACTGCTTGTAGTGGAAGTTATTTCCTTGTTCTAAGCATGCTGGCAAGAACTGAAGTTCTTTGTTTTTTTTCTTTTTCCATCTTTTATTGTGAATGTAACTTGAGCTTCTATTCTGTTATCACAGAAATACTAGAGGACAATCTGCAAGCCTTCAAGTCTCTCCTCTCTGTTGTTCGATTTAACAGTAGATAAACACATTAATCAAAAGGGCTAGCAGAGAAAATACTGTAAGTTTTGTAATCTTGCTTTTTGGACTTTTAAGGTAAAACCATGTTATAATAGGTAGGGCAGCTAAAATTTCTTCTTCTTTCTTTTTATTCTACTAAAATTAACAGCGAAATCCCAAGTGATACCGATGGAGCTAGGAATGTGCTCAATTTCTGATGTGCTCAGTGACCAGTTTTAAGCATGGTTATATTTAAATGGGGCCCCCAGCAGGAGAAAGTTTTACGTGCTTGTTTAATGATTAAATATATGTGTATTCTGAGCTGAATTTAAATGGAAGCATAACTTGTTTATTTCTTTTCGAGGCCAAGTTTTGTACTGAGACTGAATTTAGAAGTTGCTTTCATTGCAGACCTGTTCCTGCTTTTAATGTCAGCTGAGTCCGGTGGAGTTTTTCCAATGATAATGAATCAGTGGAGTAAGATATTAAGATTTTTGTAACTTGGAGAATCAGAATGAAATGTAAAGATCTCAAGAGTTTTCTCTGCAAATAGGGTTCTTTTTAGTCATGCTTTTTGTTGCTGTTTAACTTTTCTTTGCCCTATTGTAGATCTTCAGTTTACTACAGTGGTGTTAACACTGTAATAAATCAGTCTTGACTTTTAGTATTGAATAATAAAGAACAAATAAGAGCTGTTAAACAACCTTAGATGTATTCATAATACCAGAGCATCAAATTTCTGTTGCTGAAATTTCAATGCTTTAGTCCTCTTCTATTTGCCTTGAACTCACTTTGAGCTTTGCCTGATTGCATTGCTTGTAGGCCACACAGCTGCAGTGCTAGGAAGCACTTAAGTTCCAGAAAGTAAAAATATCA